TTAATAATAATAATAACAATATGAGAAGTCACGATTTAGGTTCTAACACAGAATTCTACAAGTGTAGAATTCTGTGGGTTCCAATCACAATCAGATGACGCTCATGTGTAGGGAGGGCCTACATAATTATTAAATTATTGTATTATGCCTTCAAAACCAGGCAACATAATATTATAAGTGTTAGAAGTAGTTGTTTGTACAGGGGGCTGTGTAGGACATATTTCGGCCGTTACAGCGTGGAGAGCATAAAATTACTTTGTCAAAATTAGATTATTATTAAATAACAAAGTAAAATTATATCGAATTATGATTGGACCAAAATATTTTGAACTAGATTTTGTGAAGCTTGATTTTTCGAGAGTCCAGAATTTTCTTGACTTCACGGTGACTTCCCTTCCACTTCCGCCTCATCCGGGGAACTTGTATCCAACGCGATACCAAACAAATCAATACACAGGAGCGTCGGTCGCTTCCGCTGTGAAAACAGCTGAAATTCTTGTGTGAATTACATTTTTCGGCAGCGACAGTCCCTATCTGAACGCGGTTTATAGTGATTTTTTTCCGCTTTCAAGGCTGCCAAGATGAGCAATATGAGCAATGCAGTCCTTGCGGAAATAGAGTGGGATGAAGGGCTGTCAATGCCCGTTGCTAGTGCAGAAAACAAGCAACTTGAAAATGAGGTAAGTTGTAGATCAACAAGGTGTTGGCGTTAGGGTTTGTCATCAGGAATCTAGATTCTAGATTCTAGATCTAGATTTTTGGAGTAGTGGTGATGTTTGTATTTTTGCCGTCTGTTGTCTTTTTTGCTAATTTATAAGGTCTGATTGAATATGACAGAGAACATAATTATTTTGCGCATTCACGTTGCAAAATTTCCAACGCAGACAGTGCAAATGACAACATATAAACAGAAATGGTATAGTGTGCAAGCTACCGCATATCCATAGAACTGAAACCTTGATTTGCCCTTTAAATATGTAATATTGTTCAACATTTCAATCAAAGGGGGTAGCCTAGTCTCAATTGCAATAGTTTATGATGTTCGTCAAAATGCATGACATCGCTTTAGTTTTATATTTTCTGATTATTATGGTTGTTAATGTTGAAAAAGCAATTACAGATGTCAACAAATATGTGAACAAAAGCACATAATTGCCTTACATACTTTTCCTAGATCTATTATTTATTTTTATTATTTACTAATAATTATTGTGTATGGACTTTTTGTTTTTGGTAAGTGTTAAATGTTTTACAGGTGGTGGCCGTAACTGGCCTAGCTACATCAATAGGAATCTTTAACATGCACAACTTGCACTCGTGACCTCCAAGATTTTTGTTTCCTTAATCCAAGAAGGCCAAGTGTTCAATCTTACGTATACCTACCTTAAGATCAGCGGTATGGCTCAAAAACAGCAAGTAGGTTAAGGGTCCAGGAGTACTGGTAGTAGGAAGAAGGAACCAGGCTAGTAGGGATCGAGTAGAAGAGTCAAAAACCCAGAGGAGAGAAAAGTTAGGGGGCAGAAAGTGGTGATGTGAAGATGAAAGGAAAGCAGATGACAGAACATGATTAGACGAGCAGGAAAGTAGTTGATTCATAGGCTGACTTCCATCATTCTTGGAGATTAAGGAGCAAATTATGTTGGGGTTTGTTGTTGTGGTTTTTATGTTGTTGTTTTGTTGTTGTTTTTTTTTGGGGGGGGGGTTATTTAACACTAATTCATATTTTCATGAAATGTCCAAGGTGTACGGTACTTACTATTGTTTTGTGGATGATGTTTAAGTTCCTATTTTCATTGTGTTAATTTTATTAAACAAAATAAATATATGTAAATAATATTCGTCTTACCATGTTTGTGTATGGGGTTTTTCTGTTGTAGGTTCAGCAGAAGCAGACTCGCATTGTGGCCTCTCAAAATGATTTGGCGGAAACAGAAGACAGGATCAACGCCATGTTGGAGCATCTCAAAAACGTCAGACAAGAGCTGCAGCATACACAGGTGAATATAACTGTAAAGTACGTGTGGCGTCAAAATTTATTTTATCTTTTTCCTAAATACCCAGATAGGCCTTTTCTGTTCAGTAGACTGTCAGTATAGGCAATACTGACTATGGGAGCAATTTCTTAAAACCCTGCTGTCAAACTGCTTCTAGTTCTCATAAAAAATGAAAGTGGTCTTTTATAAGGCCGGCTCTATTTCTCCTAACGTTCGGGAAAATAAAATTGAAATCTATTTCTCTGAACGGTTTCCGTTCTCGTGATTTGTTGATAATAAGCAAATGGAGTGGCCCGTGTGTGTGTGGTGTGTGTGTGTGAGTGTGCATGTGTGTGTGCGTGTGTGTGTGTGTGTGTGTAAGGTGTGAACGGTGGAGGGGGGTTTGGAGGGATTTTTTGTTTTTACATGAAGGATTTTAATTATTGCTGGGTGACTAAATGCAAAATAGGTTACTGCCAAGGTCGAGCAGTCTTGTTTTCTTGCAGTACCTTTTGAAGGTATTTTCAAATGAAGTATAATCCGGGAATGTTGCCCCAACCACAACTGAAGTATCTGAATATTCAGACGTTTAAAAATCTCTTTTTTTTTTTATTGCTCTAGAAATTGAATTCGATGCAAAAAAATGCTTATTCCCAGTCCTCACAGAATGGCAGAATGAAAGGATGACGCCTAAATCTCGCAAATAACCAAAAAATCTCGAGATCGGAATTAAACCGTTCGGAGAAATAGTCACTTCGCATTTATAAACACCTCATAAATTTGAAATCTTTCTAAAAACATGGCTTTTTGCGTAGTTAAATATAACTCTTTTTATCTTGGCCGTACCCCCTCGGGCGTTGTAACCATCCTGGGGCTGCTGCCCCACATAAGTCGGAATTCAGTGTGTATATTTCAAAGTGCTGTACTTCTTACATGCATTTACCCTTAGATTTTTAATAAATTTGGCAGTTATGTTAAAATTCGAATGTAGTATCTGAAAATGTATGTGGTTAGGAAGTACACCAATTGCACCATGTATAGATTTTGAGGTATATTCCACCCTCCAACTTGACCCTGATTGCTGCGGCCACAACGTGCCCTTGGATTTATAGATCTCTCCCTACCCATCGATACTGAATGAATTCCAGTACTGGTCCTTTCACCATGATCTGAATCACTATTAGACCAAGATGAGTTCAATTCCTGTTCGTTATCAACGGCACTTCAGAGTCACTTTCATCAAATTAGTGTCATTCCCCCTCACAACTCAGCGCCACTTCAAGAAGTCCTTCGTCGGTCGTGAACATGCGTTTTCAAGACATTTTTCAAGCTTCTGCACCCATCAAAAACAAAGAAACCATTGTTCATAAAAAAATTGAAATATTCACTGTATTTGTGTATTTTGGTAATTACAAGCAGAACTAGCTGTTTGACATGACTGTATAGCTTTTCGAGTTTACTCTTAGCCCGTCCTGGTCCTCGTTACGAGTATACGTGTAGCCCGCATAAAAAGAGTTAACTTTCTTGATGAAATTTCAATTTGCAAAAGTTAAGAAAAATGATGGTTGCTGAAAAAAATGTCTCCGAGAGTGCACATGATATGAATTTATGGGGCCAATATGATGTTCTAAGGAATTTATGGATGTGATAGTACATAGTCTCAGTTTCTCCTGAAAGAATAGTTTTTCTTTATATGCTATACAAAGTTGTATTTTTGTTAGAGTAAATTAATCTGTGAATTTATGTTGACCTTTGAACTTTTCAGGGTCTTGTCACAGCCCGCGAGAAGGAGTCGGAAACGGAAGATCATCTTCTCAAGATTGCTCAGAGAGAGGAAGGCCGACTCAAACAAGAGATTACCCGCCTCAAGAAGGAAATGGATGAGCTGAAAGAGAAAAAGAATGCTTTTGAGGTTTTTAATCAGTTTTTGTTCAATACTAAAAGCTTTATTACTTAAAAGACCTGTTGCCACTTGATCTATGTTAATAATACAGCAGAACTGAACTGCTGCTATCAGTGGAAGATATATTTTTCTTAAGTGAATAAAAAAAATTAAATTCCAATGGGGAAAAAAACAACTGCTGTACAAAATTGCAGAATCTGCTGTGACTCATGTTCTTAAAAGTTAGTGTTATTGTTATTATCATTCATTAAAATCTTCATCTTCATCATCATTATTATAAGTAGTAGTAGTGGTAGTAGTAGTAGTAGTAGTAGTAGTGGTAGTGGTAGTAGTAGCAGTAGCAGTCGTAGTAGTAGTAGTAGCAGTATAGTTGTTGTTCATATTCAGTAGTATTTCAATAGGTAAGTAACACCCTCTTCTTTTTTACAGAACACAATCTTCAAGCAAACTCAGAAACTAGAGGAGTTGAAGTCACAGATGAACTGGGACCAGCAGGCCCTGGAGGCATGGCTTGAAGAATCGGCTCGGAAAGACGAGGATGCCATGACCATTCAGAAGTACACTCGTCATGACGAGAGCAAGATCAAGGTAACTGTGTGTGGTGCTTCGGCCTGTCCCACCATTCCCCTCGTTGCACTGAGAGAGTAAAAAAACTACCGTTTTCAGCCCTGAAAGCTGAAATTTCATTAAGACATGATTTTTAAGGGTCTAGAGCTGAGAAGAAAATTAACGTTTTGATAAAGCTGTTTCATTCTAGAAGGAAAACTTACATTATTTTTTTAATAAGGAGATACTTTAATTAGGCCTCCCTGTCTAAGTGACATTTGTACTTTTCTCATAGCAGTTTGATTCTTGTCTTGAATTTTTTTTAATGGATTTTTCCATTTATCTAATAGAGGTCTCTTTTATTATTTTCTGTTGTTTCATGAAGAGAAGAATTGGTATATTATCAACAAAAGTGTTCCACTCATCATGACACCTGCCGTATCCTTTTCTTCCTTCTCTCATACTGCAGCCTGAGCTGTAAACATACACTGTAATCTTTATGTTAATTATGTTCTTCCACTCGCTGTTTGATAAGCACTCACACTGTAAATTGTAAACTAATCTTCTTCTTCCTTCTCCCATATCAGTCTGAGATGCAGTTGTATTGTGGTCTTTAAACTAATCCTTTTCTTCCTTCTGTCATTCAGGAGTTGTCTCTAAGGATGGAGAAACTGATGGAGGAGGCACTGCAGAAGAAGCATCAGCTCGACAGTGAAATGACCTCAACACTTACATCACAGGTAGGAATCATGTATTGTAGGAAGCTCATTTGAAGCCTGAAAAGGCCCTTGTCTGATTGTTCAGTGTGAGGCTCATTTTCTTAGTGCTGGTCTTTTAATGTCCAGGAAAAAGCTGGAAGGATGGATAGATACAACAGAGAACTAATGAAGAAGTAAGATTACTTGTTATGACCTCCAGCAACCTGCAAAAATGTGAAAAAGCCACAGGTTTTCAATGATGTGAAGTGAACTATGGTAGTGATGCCTGTCTGTCAAAGGTTAATTCTCCCCATGCCCCTCCCTACCTCTATAAAATGCTGGTATTCAGTTTGCATGTATCAGTAAAATAATTATAGGCTATAACACAGAGTCCAGTTTGGTTTAGAATTGAACTCCTAACTTGTAGAGCCTGTGTACAGAAGGAGTCGGGGGTCGATTATATCAAAATACTGTATGTTATTTCCTTTTTATGTTTAACATGATTTGCATACTTTCGTATATAATGTTGTAGAACAAATTTACTTTAAAAAATGGTGAACAAAGTGACTTTTGTGTCATCATATTTCATTCATTTCAATGAAGTCTACAATTTGTAATAAATAAGTCTGGGTGTTTTAAGTTCATAAACCTTTTGGTTGTTTATGTGTGTCATGTTTTGGTATGTAATTTTCATGTCGCAGATTGAACTGGACAAAATTGCCGAAGATTTCCGGAAAGCTCACACGGAGAGAGAGACACTGCTGTCACAGTGGGAGAATACAATTGAGCAGATGCAAAGGAGAGACAGAGAGATGGACATTCTAGCTTCAGTAAGATGATGGTGTTATTACAGTTTTTGGTGTTCTTGTTATTGTTTTTGTTGTTGATGTGGTTGTTATTGCTATTTCGGCTCTTCTAAAAAAAAATTTATTATTACTACTGCTTTTGTTCGTGCTACCGTTATTGCTGTTATCAGTTTTTGTAAGCATTGCTTTTGGTGTCATTGGTGCTGTTGCCGCTGTTATTATTGTTGCTGTCACTGTTGTTTTTGTTGCTGATGCTGTTATTGTTTTTGTTGTTCCTGATATTGGTGATCTGTGTACTTGATCGCTCCTCTCCAGTTGTATGAGGTAACTGTTGAAAACCGTGACAGATTTTTCTTTATTGGTGTATGAGGAGCGATCTATGTTTGTTGAGATCAGAATGGAGGAATTTGGTGTCATAAGTCTAACAGAGTTTAGGAACTGAAAGAGTCTCTACTACCTATCTTTGTTTTGATTTCTGCTGATGCAGCAGATTCACATTTTTAAAAATATATATTCTCTAATGATTATGAACATAATTATATTAAGAAACTAGCATATGAATAAATGTAAGCCTTTTATTTAACTGGAAGGCTTGTTTTTCACATCTTTTCTTGCTTTTTTCACTCATTTTATAGCAACTGGCCAAAGCCAAGCAGGAAGTTCGTCGGCACAACGAGATGATCCGAGAGAAGCAGACATTCCTGGAGAATGAACAGGAGAACAATGCAGAACAGGAGAAGAAAATCTCCCTGGCGGAGCGTACAAGTGCACGCCTTCGTAATGACTTACAGGAAGCAGAGTTGCAGAGGTCCCAGTTTGAAGATGAGGTGGGCTCAGTTCTCTTCCTTTGTCTTAAAAAGTGAAGGCCTCTTTTTGTTATGACATATCATGTGCGAAAAATCATTGGGGGGGTTAAACCAAACTTGCGATCTCTTTTTAAAAAATTCTTTATTTGAAATCAATTAATATAAAGATTCAGCATAATGCTTGGGAATATAATTAATCTTTTTCAGTTCTCTCATTTTCTTTTACATGTCAACCCCTTTAACTTTTTTTCTGTCCAAGTCTAAGAAGTGATCACTGCTACCACCCACAGAATTTAACTTTATTTTTTCACATGTTGTGTAAGGTAGTAGATTGTGCTCTCCCAGTCAGACGAAGTTTAGGGTTGAAAAATTAATCCAATATTCTAATGACAAAAGGATACTGTCCATGTTCAGATTTTGTTTTGCCCTCAGAACAAAAGAAGATCTTACCTAAAATCCTCAACTCCAGTTAGATTACAAAAGTAAAGGTTTAAGTCAAGCAGTTTCTCAATTTCTCCTGAAACATACGTTTTTGTGAAGTCAGCTACTTTGTAATCTACTTTGATAACATGTTTTGTCTCTCTGATTGATAACTAATCTCTAGTTTAGAAGTATTCTTTAGTGGATCCAAATATTTTTTAAAAAAGAAACAAGATTAATTCTAATGTAAGTGGTTGTATCTTTGAAACAAATTATTGAAAAATGTACTGTGATAATACGTTTTATTTATTTCATCCACTTAAAATTATTTCTCAAATCAGATCTAGTGATTAATTCAAATATCTAACAAAATCTTCCACACTCTAATCATCACTGTTGATAGATTCAAGTTTTGTATTTTTTGGTGAAATTCTCACCATGGTTAATTGTTTGTTTTTGTAAACTGTGAACTCATGTGTCTGCAGCTTGGAACGCTGAAGAGAACGGTGGACAGAACTGCCATTGACCTTGAGACAACACGAAGTACTGTGTCCATGCTGAGGAAAGAAGCCCAAGATAAGACGAACAAGTGAGTGCCTACCTTAAGGCCATACTAACTTAACGAGTCATTTACCTATTCCTTGTTTAGTCGCAGCAAGTTTTTAATTCATAAAGTTCATATGACAGCATTTTCATCATAGTGAAGATATGTTTTAAGCTACAAACTTGTTTTACTCAGCAGAAATTTAGGAAAAGCATGAAAGTTTGCCCTGTCACATTCTCAAATGCATTATTAATTCATGATATAATTTGAGCTTTTTAAAATGAAGCATTTAATTTTGCTCCCTTGGGAATTTTTGCTCTCTACCAGGCTGCAGCAAGCTAAAGATCTGCGAGAGGCACTAACAGAAAAGCTGAAGGTTGCTGTGGAAGCAACCTTGAGTTCGGAGGAGAGGGCAGCCCGAATGGACGAGTTGCTCAACTCGGAGGAGAAGAGGCAGGAGGAGTGCCGGACGGAGCTGAAACTGCTGGGGGAGGCGCTGTTCCGGAAGGAGAAGGAAAAGCAGGAGGCTAAGACGGATGAGAAACAGACAGAGGCTGCCATAAATGTAGGATATGGCATGTTTAGACACAGAGAGAAAGAGAGAGAGAGATAGAGAGA